ATTTCATTGATAGTTTAATAGCCACAAGGTTGGAGGATAAACAAAGAACAAAATTGTTCGATAAACATCCACGTCCCTCAAATATCAACAAGTTGATATCAATAAGGATTGATCGATGCTGATTTTCTTTACCGGGTAAACAAAGTACCTGTCATAGCAGCTCAAGGGCGGGCAACTCTATATTATCGCGGAATCACTATTTGTGGTGTGATACGTGTGGATTAGTTGGTTTACATGCATAATCAGTACGACCTAGGTTGGGTCATAGGACATCGTCCAAACAAGTGGATTCTTTTCTAACTAATTTCGAATGAAGGTAGGGGTAATTCCACTTCAAAAACATTCCAGAAACTAACATAAAAAAGTTAAGGTGTATACGAGTAACCACAACGTGTCCTGTATTCGATCAAGCGATTGAATATCGTGCTTCGTATTGCATAAGTAAACAGTCGACAGGGGCGTGGATTACGAGAAATACTGATAATCGCGATAATATAGAGTCATACTATATATAACATCTCTCTATAAATACATTTGCTCAGGTTTTTTCCAATGTTATAGATGGCATGGCACTTGTTGCTTCTGCAAATTATTAAATTAGCATCAAACGCAGAGATGCAAAAAGACAGGATTTACGACCAGAATATGTAGCCTTTTTTCCCATGCCATGTCTGTCTCCTCTTTGGAGACAACTTGAGTGACGAGACACGCGAATTATCAGATACCAGCAAACTTGTGTTCAAAGTAGGATCTGCTGACTCTAGCAGACATATGTCACCCAGAGGCAGTGGTGGTCGTTTTTTTCAGAGAACTCTTACCAGCGACACCCACTCCGATCCTCTCCTACCCAGCAAAACTTAGAACTTGCAGGTCAATCGAGGGTTCGGACCGAGGGAAAGATGGACACGCCAACGTTCAAGGCTCTAGAACAAGTGAGTTTACAGGGCTCTCCAACTGCAGGTATACTAACTCACTTTCTTAATGAATAGGGGACACGTGTGGCCCAGTCGTCTAAGGCGCCGCGATTCGCTGTGCAGAGTTGCGTCCCTTGGGCACGCCAGAAACCTATGATTGTGGGTTCGAATCCCGGTTCGCCCCGATTATGTTTCTAGGTTTGTCAGCACCATACCCGTGCTGGTGGGTTTCACCGAAGTGGTAAACGTCTGAGACCTGCATCACTTTGGGCTTTCCTCCCACATTAAGCTGACACGCCATGATATTACTGGAATACTGTTAAAAGCAGCGTTTAACCCAACTCGATCACTCAGTCTTATCGATTAGAAAATGTTACCAGTGATTTACACATTTTGCAAAACATGCAAGGCGATAAACTTGAGTTTGTTGAAAGCCCTCCAGGTCTAATTTGCAGGAGACTAGACTAAACGAGCAGCAGAGAAATTATTTAGATGTAGAAGTACACTCTATGCTTGCAAAGGGCATTATTGAACATGTTGTTTTTTCCCCAGGACGGGTATATAAGCACAGTATCGTTGGTACCTAAACCAAATGGAGATTATCGACTAATTCTGAATCTCAAGTAGTTAAACCATGCAATTGATAAAGTACATATCAAGATGAGCACCTGGTCTCTGCACTGGGTCTGATGACACCTGGTTGTTATATGGGATCCATTGACTTTACAGAAGTCTATTACTCAGTCACTGTTTCTCCTGAAGACAGAACGTTTCTCCGATTCATTAGGAGAGGTCTTGCTTATCAATACAAGTGTTTGCCTTACGGATTGACATCTGCGCCAAGAGTATTTACAAAACTATTGAAGCCAGTTTTCAGTGACTTAAGAAGTATTGGATGTAGCTGGAATATTGCTGAGTGCCGTGTTAAACAACAAACAAACACACTAACTCAATGTATTGCAAAGTTGATATTTCTGGATTTAAGTACATCACTTGATGTCTTGGAAAACATGTTAGCCTCAAGTTTACTGTAATGGACTTTCAAAAATACATAAACTTGATTTTACACTGGCTCCCCCGTCGATGTAAAGACAGTTAATTGGAGTAATGCCCATATTTTATTGACGCTTCTTTCGACACCAAAATACACTGGGTCACTGGCTTTACGTTGACTGAGGATTTGTTGGTTTGTTGTTTAACGCCGCAATCAACAATATTCCAGCTATATGACGGGGTCTGTAAATAATCGAGTCTGGACCAGACAATCCAGTGACTGACATCATGAGCATCGATCCACGCCATTGGGAAGCGATGACATGCATCAACCAAGTGAGCGAGGCTGACCACCCGGTCCCCTAGTCGCCTCTTTCGACAAGCATTGGTTGCTGAAGACATATCCTACCACGAATCTTCACGGGTCCATTGACGGAAGAACTTCTGTAAAGTGAAACAAAAATCTTCATTCCGTTTTATTTGAAGCTTCATTGCCGTGGGACTACAGTCATAATTAATCAGCATCTAATATCTTCTATCATATATGATGTTTTATGCCGTTTTTTTTATTTTGTTCGTTTGTTGTTTAACGTCAAACTCAACAATATTCAGGCTATATGACGGCGTTCTGTAATCCAGACAATTCAGTGACTGATATCATGAACATCGATCCACGCAGTTGGGATACGATGACATGCATCACCCAATTCAGCGAGCCTGAGCACCTGATACCGTTTGACGCTCCTTACGACAAGCATGGGTTGCTGAAGACCAATGCGCCGTCTTTCCATGCAAGAACAATCATAAAGAGGGGATGCAAACCGTTTTATGGCAGCTTTGGTCGAGATGTAGGACTCAATATGGCGGCCACAGAAGACATACCTCAACATGTTTCCTGATAACATTGGAGTATGGTGCATGGACACAAAGTAAGTTGTGTTTGGAAGCGTTTAATTGAATAGTTTGATACGAGGAGAGTTTGGCAGACAAATACTGAGAAGTGGTAAGATGCATGGCCAAAACCTTCAATCCAATATGGCTACCAAACGATGCCATTTTGCGACACTGGACGTAGAGAAGGAATTTAATGCGGCTTCTGCATGCCGAATTTGAAGGCCTTCAGACTATTGGGTACTGAGATAGTTGCGGGTAAAAGTTGTTTTCAGTAAGTTAATTTTGAATTATCTGCCCTTGGCCATTCAGCCGAGAGCCTTTGGAATGTTGTGGTATCTGCTTCACTTAGAAACAAAACATGACCTATGGTAAATACGTGCCACTTTTGTTATGGATAACAACCACTGTAGTCTTTGTATCAACGTTTCAGAGTCCCTAAAGACGCGACAAAACCCACCAGCAGGACACCATACTACCCACCACCCCTACCCACCACACACACACAAAAAACCAAACAAACAAAAAACAAATACGAAATACAATAAACTACGGTTGTAACGAACTCAAAGGGACCACTAATTTTTGTTTGTTATAACCGTAGTTCGTTATAAACGTAGTGCACTGTAGTACACACGTGCTTAGGAAATTATTAACATGTGGGGAAATGGACAAGTTTCACAAATATTTCATCATGTTACATGACACATGTTAAGCAATGGAAATAGGGAATATTACAATCTAACAGACCATGATCCAGCATCTTAAACCTACCAAGGGTCAAATCGATAATGCACATTGGACATACTCCAGGACCAGTATCTCTCAACGTGTTGGTCAGATAGAGCTAGGCAAACAAATGTAAGGCCTTACTAACTGTATATGTAGCTACAGCTGTTTATCACCCACCTTATCAAATCACACGTTACACCTATACGTTCGTTGTATACTAGCAACTGGAAAGCTATTTTTCTCACTTAACTTCACTCATGAACACCTTTATATACTTCATTGAGTTTTCTGAAGTTGAAAAAAGTTATATTTTCATTGCAATTAACATAACTCTTGATATTTCACTGCAATGAACATACCATTTGATATTTCACTGCAGTGAAGGTAACACTTTGACGTAACTAAAGTCTCCCTTTATCGTAAGTGTCTGGCTCGTACACAAACTGTTTACATCCTGTATGTGTTAGTTCCACATTTGGACTAACATCTAGTCTCTGAAATGAAAATATTTTGCAGAAAAAAAACATTTGTTAAATAATAGTTATAAAATATAAAAAAAGGAGCACAGAGACTTTCTTCATTTTACTGCAGTAATCTAGACTTGCCAAACATGAGATACTTGCATGGGTTGTATTGGATATATTTGTTTTAGGGTCTGTATGACAGGGCAAAATAATGACAGATGGTCATATATAGAGTTAATATCGCTTCTTGCCTTCTGTTATTCTCTCTAAAATGTTTCGTTATAAACTGTAAATTACTCACTTAACTCGTCAATCTAGACAGCTCATTTCGCAAAGCGTCATTTTTGTTACTTGACCAGCCTGTATTCTTTCGCTTCAAACAGCAGTCTCGTAGTTTTCTATTTTTGTTACAGTTGATGTTGTATATAATCATATTTAAATGTATGTTAAAGAATTTTCATGACCCTAAATATGTTTTGATACTTTTGTTTATATTTTTAAAGATTTTGCAAACACGAAACTACTTTTTAAGTCGAAAATACAAGGGGTAATGAACCGGGTGTTAGGTAGGGAGAATTTACGTTTTAAGGTTTTACATTTGTAGTGAAATAATTTAATTTTCCGATAGGCAACTACACAGACAGTATATAATAAATAAGATATTCTTTGTGTCGAGTAAAATATCATGTTTCTCTCATCTCGTGAAGGAAATATTTTCACTCATGGCTACAACTCTCGTGAACATATCTTCTTTCGAGATAGATCCACTAAAGTTTACAACAACTTTATCGTCAGTTTAATCAGTAAATGAGAATATCTGTAGAAGTTAGAACAAGTATAAATACGGACGACATACAGTCACAAATCATTCTGTGTCTGTCTAATAAACTGACAGTTTATTCACTCAGGTCTTGTGTTGTTGTGTGGTATGGTCTTGTACAGCGGTACCTCTGCTAAGCCAGTTGACATCCCTCACTCTCGCGTTTTAATAGAAGAAGCAGAAGAAAAAGAAGAAGAAGATTTTTATGTAAACAGTCACGCTTTGTACAGCATAAACGTTGCTACGTAGTGCGCAGAGTTATATTGAAACCTCTGCAGTGTGATCCATGAGACACTATAATCATTTAAAAGCGTAAAACATTTGTAGATTAAAACAAAACACCATAAGTTAGAAATAATAATAATAAATAAAAAATAAACATTTGGAAAGATCACTGTGAAATTCTGGAGTACTTTAAACAAAACATAAACATTTCAAAAGTCACGTGGAGCAAAATTAAGGCAATCAACACACATCCATAAAATAGACAACCACACAGATCAACTATGTAGAAGATACGCTGTTCGAGTGTTTTAAAGCCGTACGAAGTGAAAACATTCCATTAAGTGTAAGTATTATTGCAGTACGTTATTATTTCTAGAGAATAAAATCCAGAGCTTTGTCGAGGATCGTCAAACATAAATACATCACACAACCACCTTAAGCAACGCACCTGTTACATTACAAGAGCAAGCAAACACTCTCCAAAATAAAACCACGTCGTCTACTCCAGGAGCAGGCGTTATGATTTATTACATACTTCAGTGTGAAAGACTGAGTTTTCTGCCACGCCACTCGGAAAAAATAGCTCCTTTGCCCCCGTCACTCGAGGAGAGAGGGATGATATGTCACCCGACACATGAAGTAGACTCTGTATACCTCCTGCTTAACAAACTCTAGACACAGGACAAAAAAATACTTGATCTCTTCAACGCAATCTGTGACACGCACGTCTACCTACGACATTGACTTATCTTACCACCAAGACACAGCTAATCTCATACGTGCATACCAGAGCGGGTACTTGATATACAGAACCACCAGCCCCCACACAGCATAGAGGGATAGATAACATACCACTGTAACAATACTTGACACGCATTCTAAAGTGCAAAGATCAGTACAAACGTAACTGATATTATATGTTGACAGTTTGAATACATTAAGGAGCATGTGCTTGTGGGCATGTCAAGTTTGATAACTGTATTACCATCGCCCTGTCTTGTACAATCCCCTGTTATCTGATCACACGCTACACAGCCCCCACTACATCTGTGTTGACACTGACTCCCGTAAGCCCCGTCCTTACACCCACGACTACAGCGACCATCTTCCTCACACACATCATCCACACACGACCCACTACAACGAGCAGTGCAGTTAGTGCCATGATACCCTCGTGAACAGTTGATGCATGGTCCATTGCCACATACGTCACATCTCTCCCCGAACCATCCATCAATACATGCTGAACATCTGCCATGGTGGTCACACACATTGTTTCTACAACGCAGACAGTTCTTGTGACAATGTTTCCCATAGTACCCTTGTACGCAGCCCTCCACACACGATCCATCATGGCCGTAACACAGGGAAGACTTGCAGGTGGTACTGCACGGCGTGTGACACCGCGGACCGTGCCACCCAGTCACACATCCTTCCTGGCAGGCTGCAGTAATTCGGTTACAATGTCTTTGTCCATCTCGTCCCTTGTAGCACTTCTCAGGACACGTTTTGTTGCAGTGATGGCCATGATAACCAGGCTGACACTGTTCACATATTCCAGTCTGTCTGTCACAGCCAGTGGTCCAGCAATGTTCACATCTCTCCTCACACGTCTGTCCATAGAAGCCTGCTTCACATCCATGTAGGCAGTAGCCGGTATTGCTGCATCCTCCCATCAGACAGTTGTCACAGGTTGTGTTACAGAAGTCTCCTGTCCATCTTCTCTCACACCCAGCCAGACACTGTCCTGTATGCTGGTGACAGACTGACCCCTTGCAGTTAGACGGACATCGTTCATCACAGTGTACTCCAGTCCGTCCTCCATCACAAGATTCAGAACAAGCACCTGTGTGTCTGTCACAGTAGACAGCGCCATCTACCCTACTGCTGGTACATCGTCGTGGACAGGGTGTGTCACAGTGTCGTCCATAGAACCCTGGAGTACATTTGGAGCATTCCCCAGTGTGTCTGTCACATCCGTCTGTGTGACAACTTCCTTGGCATGGAGAGCTGCAGTTTGATCCGTGACACCCGATGGTACATGACTGACATCTAAGCCGACCATTTCCATGTCTACAACTACTTGTATGACATATGTAGTTACTCGGGGGCACTGAAAATATACATTTTTATGGTTATTGTATGGTAAAGTATCAGATAAAACATAAGTGATATTTAAGAAACGATATAAAAACCTTAAAATAGATTCCACAAATTATATCTCAGTTTTTACGTTTTAAAACTGTGATCAATTGTATGGTAAATTCGAAGTATCGGGTAAAAAATAAGTGATATGTTGTTTAAGAAGCGATATGAAAATCCTGAAAGTAGATTCCACAAATCATATCTCATTTCATCACTTATATACATACTTACCAAATGAGTCTGTGAGCGCCAGCAGGGACATCCCCCCAACCCATAGGATCTCTCCCATCTTCATGGTCCCAAGAGGCAAGCAGTTCGTCCTGACTGATGAAAACATATATAAGGATAGGACGATGACCGCATAAGTTAAAGGTTTAGCCGTGCGGCAAGTCTTATATTTCCTCCTTAACACTGGGGTAACCTCCCAAAACCCCTACATCCCATTTCCCCTACAGCTTAAGACAACAAAGTTCACGGTCCATGGCACTGCTAATCCCTAGTCTGTTACCTATTTCATACAATGGAACAACCCAAGAAACCCGAATAGATTGAGATAAATATTTAATTACGATTACGATATTATTCAAAATTCATAATACATTATAATAAAATGTTCATTTTTCACAATTCATAATACATTATGATAAAATGTTCATTTTCAAAAGTCATAATACATTATAACAAAATGTTCATTTTTCATCTCAACTGTAAATCGTCTCATCTCAGTTTCTCAGTGTAACAAGCGTATAGTTGACAAAGTCATCTATATCCCCCGCTCATTTTAACACGTTATGGTCCCAAACCAGGTAACTGACCCAACATTTCTCTTAGCCCATGTCAAAATAGCTGCAATGGAAATTCTAAAATAAACATTTCTAAAACTCCTTAATATCAAATGGCACTAGTTCAGTATGCGCTTTATATATAGACATGCAATATTTGGCAAGGAAATATTTAACAGTTTATTTGTTATACTACTTAAGTAAACCAATCCTATATTAAAACTTAAATCCAACTTGTTGTCATGGAAACATAAACAATAAAAATTTCTAAATGTTATATATATCAAAAGGCACCAGTTCAGTAGACCTGCAAAGTTTTGTAAGAAAGTATTTAACGGTTTTTGAGTTACACTCTGGAAACGAACACCCTCCCTGTAGAACCTAAGTCCAACTTATTGCCATGGAAACGTGAAAAATAATTTTCAGCATGAGCCTGATGGACATGCAAAGTTTCGTAGAGAAATATTTAACGGTTTCTGAGTTATGCTCCGGAAACGATTTCGGCACGCACGCACGCACGCACACACGCACGCACGCACGGACGGAACCCATTTCTATATCCCCCGCCAACTTCGTTGGGGCGGGGGATAATAATTGTTTCTTCCTATTGTTATTTTTGTAATTTCTAAAAATTGTCTTCTCATCAAACAGGCATCTTTCATTACACTTACATTAATTCTTTTTTTTTTAAACTTCCCTTTAAGTCCCCTTATCCCCTAAAGCTCTACCCCTTTCATTTCTACTACCTCTACTCCAGACCTTAATCTCTCCTTTAGGTGAGTTCATAATGCCAGACAGGTAAATGCCGCGTGTTGTTTTAACTAATTGTAGGGGAACTGGGTTGTAGGGGAAATGGGATGTAGGGGTTTTGGGAGATAACCAACACGGGCATCGTCATAAATAACACCTAAGCACATATGTCGTAATAAACCATGCCGACTAAGGGACCGACCTTGAGTAGGTTTGGAGTGGGGACTAATAGTGTGTTCAGCTGCAAAACCAGAACGTCTTTTTATATTAAAACTAAGAGCCTAAATGTCTTTCTAAAAGTCACCTTGCAACAACGTATTTTTGTGGCAGACAATTTCCTTCTTTAGAAGAGTCAGAAACATAAAAAAGATTTCAATTTTTTTAAAGGGACATTTATTATTTTTCGATAAAATCCCAGGCTTGCGCATGGTATGATGGATTCGATAGTCACAGACAACTGGGCTTATTATTCAGTGACCGCAAGCATTCTAGCCTGAAGTACCCCAGGAGTGCTAACTCATTTACTGAATCAACTGGGAAATCGGTCTGCTACAAATGATGGTCTTCAACCAATACACTTACTACTTTATATAATTACCTTTGCATCCGATAAAAACACTCATAAGTACCTACCTTTCAGAGTCATAACGCGATACGACGTAATCTGACAGTCAAGTGCGCCCAACTGTACTCCTACCTGCGACTTTATATACATCCCCTTATGTCCCTTATGTCACACGGCATCTTAGTATAGACACCGTTAAGTGTTTTTGAATGTGTAAATAGTGGTTGTTACTGTTAGACCGAAATAAGACGAGGCGATATTTGGTGGCAGAGAATCCCTTCCACGTTGCACGCTGTCTTGGTATAGACGTGTGTTGGAATTTGTAAATAGTGATTGTACTGTTATAATCGTGAAAAGACGAGGCTGTCAGAGACTCATATGTAAATTTGTTTCAACGTGTGTGTCATTTTATTATTGATCGTTTTAGTTGTTCGTAAAGCTTATGCGTAGCGATAATATATCAAGTTTGTGACTGTTATCAGTCGTAGTGGTGTAGTTGTTGAGTGGTGGTGTAGTTGCTAGGTGATGGCAGTGTAGTTGTTAGATAGTGTTGGTGTAGTTGTTAGCAGGTAGTGGTGTAATTGTTAGATAGTGTTGGTGTAGTTGTTCGGAGGTGGTGGTGTAGTTGTTAGATGGCGGTGATGATGGTGTAGTTGTTAGGTCGTTGTGGTGTAGTTGTTAGGTGGTGGTGTAGTTCCTGTTTGGTGGTGGTGTAGTTGTTTGGTAGTGGTGGTGGTGATGTTGTTGTTAGATGGCGTTTGCGTTGTTGTTTGGAGGTGGTGGTGATGTTTTAGATGGTGGTGGCGTTGTTGTTTGTAGGTGGTGGTGATGGTGTAGTTGTTTAGTGGTGATGGTGTATTTGTTCGGTGGTGGTGTAGTTGTTTGGTAGTGGTGGTGGTGTAGTTGTTTGTCGATGGTGGTGGTGGTGGTGGTGTAGTTGTTGGATGGCGGTAGTGTAGTTGTTTGGTGGCGGTGGTGATGTAGTTGTTTGGTAGTGGTGTAGTTGTTTGGCGATGGTGGTGGTGTAGTTGTTAGATGGTGGTGGTGTAGTTGTTTGGTGGTGGTGTAGTTGTTTGGCGGTGGTGGTGGTGGGGGTGGTGGTGTAGTTGTTACATGGCGGTGGTGTAGTTGTGAGATGGTGGTGGTGTAGTTTTTAGGTGGTGGTGTTGTTGTTAGATGGCGGTGGTGTAGTTGTTTGGCGGTGGTGGTGGTGGGGGTGGTGGTGTAGTTGTTACATCGCGGTGGTGTAGTTGTTAGATGGTGGTGGTGTTGTTGTTAGGTGGTGGTGTTGTTGTTGTTAGATGGCGCTGGTGTAGTTGTAAGGTGGTGGTGGTGCAGTTGTTCGGTGGTTGTGTAGTTGTTTGGTGGTGGGGTAGGTGTTAGGTGGTGTTGGTGTTGTAGTTGTTTGATGGCGGCGGTGTAGTTGCTTGGTGATGGTGGTTGTGTAGTTGTTAGGTGGTGGTGGTGTAGTTGTTTGGTGGTGGTGTAGATGCTAGGTTGTGGTGTGGTTGTTAGATGCTGTCGGTGTAGTTGTAAGAAGGTGGTGTAGTTGTTTGGTTGTGGTGGTGTAGTTGTTTGGGGGTGGTGGTGGTGGTGGTGTTGCTAGGAGGTGGTGGTGTAGTTGTTTGGTGGTGGTGGTGGTGTTGTTAGGAGGTGGTGGTGTAGTTGTTTGGTGGTGGTGGTGGTGTTGTTAGGAGGTGGTGGTGTAGTTGTTTGGTGGTGGTGGTGGTGGTGGTAGTGTAGTTGTTTGTTGGTGGTGTAGTTGTGTAGTTGTTAAGTGGTGGTGTAGGTGTTAGATGGTGTTGTAGTTGTTTGGTGGTGGTGGTGGTGGTGGTGTTGGTGGTGTTGTAGTTGTTTGGTGGTGATGTTGGAGTTGTTTGGTGGTGGTGGTGTAGTTGTTTGGTGGTGATGTTGGAGTTGTTTGGTGGTGGTGGTGTAGTTGTTTGGCGGTGGTGTTGCAGTTGTTTGGTGGTGGTCGTGTGGTGGTGTAGTTGTTTGGCGGAGGTGGTGGTGGTGGTGTAGTTGTTAGTTGGTAGTGTAGTTGTTGTTGTTGGTGTTGGTGTAGTTGTTTGGCGGTGGTGGTGGTGGTGGTGTTGTTGTTTGGCGGTGGTGGTGGTGTAGTTGTTAGATGCGGTGGTGTAGTTTTTTGATGGTGGTGGTGTAGTTGTTTGGTGGTGGTGTAGGTGTAGTTGTTAGGTGGTGGTGGTGTAGTTGTTTGGTGGTGGTGATGTAGTTGTTAGATGGTGGTGGTGTAGTTGTTTGGTGGTGATGTAGTTGTAAGGTGGTGGTGTTGTAGTTTTAAGGTGGTGGTGTAGTTGTTAGGTGGTGGTTGTGTAGTTGTTACGTGGTGGTGATGTTGTAGTTGTTAGATGGTGGCGGTGTAGTTGTTTAGTGGTGGTGTAGTTGTTAGGTGGTGATGATGTAGTTGTTAGGTGGTGATGGTGTTGTAGTTGTTAGATGGCTGCGGTGTAGTTGTTTGGTGGTGGTGGTGTAGTTGTTAGGTGGTCATGATGTAGTTGTTAGGTGGTGGTGGTGTAGTTGTTTGGTGGCGGTGTAGTTGTAAGGTGGTGGTGGTGTAGTTGTTAGGTGGTGGTGTAGTTGTTAGATGCTGTCGGTGTAGTTGTAAGAAGGTGGTGTAATTGTTAGGTGGTGGTGGTGTAGTTGTAGGGTGGTGGTGGTGGTGTAGTTGTAAGGTGGTGGTGGTGTAGTTGTTAAGTGGTGTTGTTGTTGTTTAATGGTGGTGGTGTAGGTGTTAGGTGTTGGTGGTGTTGTAGTTGCTAGATGAGGATGATTGTGTAGTTCACAGATGGTGGTGTAGTTGTTTGGTGATGTTGGTCCAATACAAATAAATCAGAACCAAAGATTAATACCCAAGTTTTTAAGAAGACCTTGATTTACTTTTACTTTTACATGTGTAGATGATTGTCGTGGCCTTTCCTGGACTCCAGGAACTAATGTGAAACATATTTAGGAAACGTAGTTTTCATCTGGTAGCGACGAACTTGTAAATAGTAGTGGGACTGCCGACAACCGCTACAAACAGTTTGGAAGCGTATATACATGAGTCGTCCGGCATTCATAACATGTCAGTAACGTTTAAGTCAATATATCACTGACACATCTTTTGAAAGCTTAGCGTCGTGTCAAAGTTATAGTCATATGTTTCGCGAAGCTACCTACTCAAAACACTACATTTGCATGTTCACATACTACACAACTTCTGGTATCTCAGACATCTTATCTTTGAAAATCAATAAATATCTTTTTTTCGGCACATGTTTACATTTCAAACATGGTAGGGTCATGTGGTTGCAAATTCAAATATTACACCCAACACTCTGTATGCGTTTGACTCGTCCTTGTCATGGACGTTATCCCCTTCCTTCCTTCTAAATCGATATCCAAATATTTGTAAGTGTCATACATGGAACTCTATACACAGATACACAGAGTCCATGTTATAAATAATTATGTCTTCGACATGGAGTTTGACATGGGGAGATTATACATGTGGATTCAAACATCAGTAGCGCTGTGGGGGGCAGAGCTTATCTCGTGTTACATATGTCTTATATATGTGTTGTGTCTGTTGTACATGTGTTGTACAGCTGTTGTGTCTGTTGTACATGTGCTGTACATGTGTTGTGTATGTTGTACATATGTTGTGTATGTTGTACATGTGTTGTCTCTGTTGTACATGTGTTGTACAGCTGTTGTGTCTGTTGTACATGTGCTGTACATGTGTTGTGTATGTTGTACATATGTTGTGTATGTTGTACATGTGTTGTCTCTGTTGTACATGTGTTGTACAGCTGTTGTGTCTGTTGTACATATGTTGTACATGTGTTGTGTATGTTGTACATGTGTTGTGTCTGTTGTACATGTGTTATATCTGTTCAACATGTGTGAGTGAGTGAATGAGTGAGGCATGTATACGTGATGTTTCTTTTTGTTGTGTCTGTTGGACATGTGCTATGTCTGGACATGTGTTATGCAGGTGGTGTGTCTCTTGTACAGGTGTTGAGTCTGTTGTACAGGTGTTGTACATGTGTTGTGTCTGTTGTACATATGTTGTACATCTGTTGTGTCTGTTGTACATGTGTTCTATCTGTTCTACATGTGTGAGTGAGTGAGTGAGTGAGTGAGTGAGTTTGGTTTAACGCCGCTTTTAACAGTATTCCAGTTATATCACGGCGTGTCAGCTTTATGTGGGAGGAAAGCCCAAAGTGATGCAGGTCTCAGACGTTTACCACTTCGGTGAAACCCACGAGCACGGGTATGGTGCTGACAAACCTAGAAACATAATCGGGGCTAACAGGGATTCGAACCCATAATCATAGGTTTCTGGCGTGCCCAAGGGACGCAACTCTGCACAGCGAATCGCGGCGCCTTAGACAACTGGGCTACCTGTGCCCCCTGTTCTACATGTGTTGTACAAGTGGTGTGTCTGTTGTACATGTGTTGTGTCTGTGTGTCTGCTGTACATATGTTGTACATCTGTTGTGTCTATTGTACATATGTTGTACATGTGTTGCGTCTGGTGTACATATGTTGTACATGTGTTGTGTATGTTGTATATATGTTGTACATCTGTTTTGTCTATTGTACATATGCTGTACATGTGTTGTGTCTGGTGTTCATATGTTGTACATGTGTTGTGTATGTTGTACATGTGTTGTGTCTGTTGTACATGTGTTGTGTCTGTTGTACATGTGTTGTGTCTGTTGTACATTTGTTGTACATGTGTTGTGTATGTTGTACATATGTTGTACATGTGTTGTGTCTGTGTGTCTGATGTACATATGTTGTACATGTGTTGTGTCTGGTGTAGATATGATGTACATGTGTTGTGTCTGTTGTACATGTGTTGTGTCTGTTGTACATGTGTTGTGTATGTTGTACATATGTTGTACATGTGTTGTGTCTGTTGTACATGTATTTTGTCTGATGTATATATGTTGTATATGTGTTGTGTCTGTTGTACATATGTTGTACATGTTATGTGTATGTTGTACATATGTTGTACATGTGTTGTGTCTGTTGTACATATGTTGCACATGTGTTGTGTATGCTGTACATGTGTGAGTGAGTGAGTGAGTGAGTTTGGTTTAACGCCGCTTTTAACAGTATTCCAGT